CGCAGAAGTCAACGTTCAACCAAGAAATTTGACCGTTGCCTTCATGTCCTAATAGAGAAACCTACACACATATATCTTCCAATCACTTCTGCAACGAAATGGCGTCTTTCCAAAACGCAGCTAACACACCGTTTCATGTCGAAAAGCCACCTACAGGAATCCTACCAATGCCACCGATTCGCCTCCATAAAAACCCCAAGAAACCGACCGTCACCGGAATCCACTTGTAATTTCCCCAAGAATCTGCAATGGCTTCCGCCGTGACCAAGGAGGAGTTCAATGCGTTCCACAACATCGACCGCACCACGTTCAACAGACTCGTATTCAATCTGCGCCGCGAACCGTTCGAGTCAATGCAGGTCATGGCACTCCTCCTCTGCCTAGAACAGACAGGGCTGGCTCACAACTTGGTGTACCAAACTCTGCAATGGTCTGACACCTTTCTGAACTCTTTAGCCAATGAGGCAGTCCTGTGCTTGCAGTGCGGGGAAAGCGAAGAATTCCCTTTGGCTTTAGAAGGCGTTGAAGTTCCCCTGATTCAGACCATGACAAAAGGCAAGGTTTCTCTCCGGTATTTCTACGATCATCGTCTCCTCATTATTCCTGGGATCGAAAAAAATGTTAACGAAGTTTGTCTGAGAGCATTTGAGGATATAATGGAGCAACTGAAACAGAGAAAGATAGAGGAGACAGGTGTTGAAGACAGGGGAGAACAGGGTATCAATTCCCACTCTCCGCTGATGTATTATTACAGTCCGATGATCCCGCCCGTGGTGCCTCGGACAATGAACTACGGGCCTAGCCTACTCGGATATTTCCATCAGGCACCTGGGTCGAGTATGGTTGGTGGCGATTCTGAATTTGTCTCATTCGATACTTACGATCTTGCAGTTCAGGGACGGGTTTTGGAAGGCGAAGTGGGGGACGATTTGAGCCCCCTACAGATCAGTAGTACGCCCGGCCATGAGGAGAAGGAGAAAGCAGAAATTCCGGCAGATGATAGGACGATTTTCTTGACATTTTCTAAAGGGTATCCCATTTCAGAGACTGAAGTCAAGGACTTCTTCACCAGGTAAAATGAAGTTAAGAAGAGGTTTTTGATTCCTCTTTGCTTACTTGAATTTGTTGTTTGCTAATTAGAATTTGTGTTCTGTTTGTGAACAGGAAGTTTGGAGATTGCATTGATGAAATTCACATGCAAGAAGTCCCGGAGGAGGAGCAGCCGCTGTATGCAAGACTGGTGGTGCAGCCTTCTTCCTCCCTTGAGAAGATACTAGGCGGTAGAAGCAAAGCCAAATTCTCCATTAATGGGAAGCATGTTTGGGGCCGAAAGTACGTGCCTAAAACCCAAAAGTCGCCGTCAAAATCGCCGCCATCATCCTCGTCGCAACCCGCTCCCCCCACCGCATCTTAGAACCACCTACCAGCTAGGAACTTGTTAGAAGTGTTTGTGGTTTTTGTTCATTTTCATAGGTAATAACTTAGCATTGAAGGCTAAGAAGAATGGTTTAATTAATTATACTTGCAACATAACAATATTACAATTGTTATGGATCTCAGCCATATAAAGTCAGTAATTTTAGTTATCCTTCAAATATCCCTCAACTTATTTCCTTTACATGTCATATGACTTAAAATTATCATTAAATTATATTAAAAAATTAATAGTAAAATATTTTAGTTATAAAATCATTAGCCACAAAATTGTTCGCATATCCTAAAGGACAAAGCAAAAACTTTTTTTTAAAAAAAAAAAACGTTGAAAGTGGGACTTAAATCCCACATCTCCAAACTTAACTTCTATGTGAGAGAGAAAGGGAAATGCCATGTGCACTCAGGAAGAGACAAGCACTCAGGTCCCAATTGGCTCGAGTGCTTTATTTGTTAATGGTACTTACCTGCAAACTCATACGTAAGATATTTGTATTCAATAATGAATATTTTAGTGACAATAAGAGACGAGACAAGATGAACGGAATTTTGAAAAAATGAATGATCGGTAGAACTGGATGAAAATCCCATACTTTTATTTACAACTAAGCAGAATGTACATGTGCAGTCAGTCTTGGTATAGCCGCAAAACCAATTGGTCAATGTCATAAAGACTTCGTAATAAGGTCGTAGAGAGATATGACGATTTCTGCACTAATCAATACAATGATGAGCCACTCCAGAAAATCTGATTTCCTATTTTGAAGAATTTCCTGAAGAAACCGAATGTTATGCTGCAAAGAGATGAAGTTTGGGTGTGAGTTTGAAGAAAATAGTAGTTATGCATACACCTATGAACAAGTGTAGTAACTTGTTTATTAACAAATGTATAGACAACATGAACATTCTCAAAATGCTACCATACCTCCACAAACTTGAGCTTGAAATCAAGACTGGCAAATCTTTGGGTTAATTCAAATTCATCTCTAAGATATTCCCATATTTGAGCATATTTGGCATTTTTCCAAGCAATGTCTGATCTGGAAAAGCAAAAAGAATATTGAATGACTTGGAGTTCTTACACAGTCGAGAAAGGGTAGGAACTCACAGCTCTCCCTTCAACACTGAGTGTGAAATTTACCTCTCAAAAAGTCCTAGCTTAAGAATCACATCAGCAAGATTAGAATTTGCTTTTCCAACTATTTGAAAAAGCTTTTTGCTATCCATGGTAAATGTTCCAGTTTTCTCCATCCCACGGTTTATGTCTGTAAATTCTGCAACCATCCCATCAACCTAAATAGAAAAGGTACTGACAATAACTATCAGGAAAATCTTTGACAGCATAGACACCTTGGAGATGAATAGCCAGATACCTGACGGACATAGTAGTCAAGGGCAATACTTTGACCAAGGACACTACCAATGGTACGGATGCCATCAATATTCAAGAACTGTAACATAATATAGTCCAATCCACCTTGCATCCATGTGTTTAGAGTTGGCATTTCTCTTACTTCATACTCTGCAAAGTACATAACAAATCAACTTCAAATGAAACCTCCTATAATGTGGTCTCTTGAGCAATACTTTCTTACTTGAGGAACCAATAAATCTAAGAACATCAAATAATCTGATAAAAGATAAACATAAACAATCTGGTAGTTTGCTCCAACCATGCATCAAAGAGGCCTTCCGAGTAGAGAGTTATGTTCTAGTGTACTAACAGGAACATTTCAGCTCCCAAAAGTACAGTGACCAGATGGCAACTCTGGTCAAGAAAAATCAAGAAAGGTAATTATGGATATTGATTAAAAATAAAATCTAGATGAAGAGATACAAAGCTTACCATCCTTTCTCATTTCAGGAAGCAATCCTGATGCATGTTTCTCTATGATTTTCAGATAGCCATCAACCTCATGTTCAGGGACATTAAACAAGACTATAGAGCCATACTGAAAAACTACCATGTAACAGCAGTTACTTCCACTGATGGAAGGACCAGTACCCTGAAAAAAGGAACTTAAAACTCCATTAGCAATAAGCATGTTGATGAATAATCTAAGCAGAACTCCAAAAATCTCTGTAAGTTAGGCAATTTGGGAGCACTTAAGTTGTGCTGTCCAGAAAATAAAACCTTTGCTTTGCTTCTAGTAATAGCTCAATAATAGTAGCAAATATGCAGACATTTTTCATGAGAATTCATCATTTTTCCTACTTCAGACTACAATACGATAACAGATAACTAGATGTATAATTACAGGATGTGAAACTACAAATGTTATTGTCTTTATGGAAACAAGAAATTATACTTTTTAGAAACAGGATGTGCATTGGTAGAAAATGTGTCTAAAATCTACTCTACAGTTTGTTAAACCACCAAAATCTCAAAAGCCCCCAAACATAACTAGAAGTACAGGGTAACAAGAATGCAATGAATTAGCACAACCACATTTCTCTAATCCCAAGTTGTTGAGGTATGACAATGCTGCAGCCCAGAATTCATTAATTTCCTTTTAAAATACGTTACAACCTCTCGCATCAAACCAATCACTTAGCTTTTTTCACTGTTCATTCTGTCAAATTGACAAATACAATAAATGGCTAAATGAAGTGCAGAATGAGCTATGACCTATAAAGAAAGAAATGTAAGGACAAGGTGACGTGAACTTACATAGGAATCAGCAAGATTGCCAAACTTAAGAACAATATAATTAGTCATCCGTGATGATGGCGGGATAAAGTTCTGCTTGTTCTGTTCCATTAAGCCTCTCAAATCCACACTACACCATCAAGATATAAATAAATAGATAAACAAGCAAACCAGAATTCAGTATTGCACCCAAAGCAAGATTAAGCTCATATTTTTTTAATGGTGATTACACTTATAGTTGGTTAAATTATTCATTGCTCAATTGCAGTTCAAATTCCCTCCCCCAAGTATCTGCAAATAAGAACAGTTAAAAGTTTACTAATTTTAAAACACGAGAATTCACTGAGAAATTTTAGAAATGAAATGAATTCAAGTTCATATGCATACTAAACACACAGCAAAGTTCCAAAGGGTCTAAGGATATGGGTTCGTCCATGAGGGGATTAGGGTTTTAGCATTTTATGCGCCAATAAGCAATTCACTGAAATCGAAAAAAGGGGGTAGGGGAAAGAGAAACCTGGTGGAGAAAAAAAAAGCTCGAACAGGAATAGAGCGTTTGGCGTTTTCTTCTAACCTCCCGCCACCATCACCATCGCCGTCGCCAATCTCAGAGCACGAAACGGCTTCATTCCACTCCACCGCAGTGTGGTCCTGCTGGGCCGTGGACACCGACGAAATGCACCTGGCGTCCACCCGAGCCCAAACCTGCCCAACATTCCTGATCCCCAAACCCCAAACTACAGTCGTCGGAGACTGAGACAGAGACGTGACATTGAAACGAAGTGACCTCCGGGCAGAAGAAGACGCGAAGGACTTGGGTTTCGGGAGAGAAGAGAAGAAGAGGAGAGGGTAAGTGGCCTGTCCGCTGCAGATTGTACGAACATGGAGCCCAGGCAGCTGACGTATGGAGCGCCACATCCTCCGCTTTCGGATGAAGAAGAACGGGGAACGAAATGGTCGTTCGTCGTAGGTTAATGATAATATGATATACACTCCCCACCGATTTCTTTCTATCTGCGGATTTGGGCTTGCTTGTGCCTAAATGCCTAAAAAAATAATATTTGGGTTTCATTCTACTTTTGGGCCAATAATTTGGGCGGTTCAGAATTTGTGAATCTGATAACAGAATTTTGTTTTACCAAAAGGAGAAGTGCACTGCGCACGGAACTCATACATGATTATTTAATTTTATGGGAAATAGCCATGGAGCTTCAATTAGTTGAATAGCTTGTCCTTGATATGAATTTCATTAATTTTTTTTTTTTTTTAGGAACATAGATATTTGAAGAGATACGTACATATATAATATAAACTAATTAAAATGACTATGTAGCACCACCTCAATAGTTTTGGGTCACACAATTAGCATCCATTGGCTTGCATACTAAATGTGCCATGGCATGTTACAGACCAAATCTTAATAATTTTCTCATATATATTTGTAAGTAATTATTTTTCGAAACGAGGACAAAATTAGAATACATACCAATAGCATTCAAATACATTTTATTTTTTAAAAATAAGAGTTTAGTTTAGTATCCACTTATTAACAAATTTTAATTTGTAATCAATGTTAGTAATTTAAAATCAAATTTCTGTAATATAAAAAAACTAATTATCAATGAACAGAAAAATTACAGTTTATTTTATTTTTCCTGTAAAGGGTATTATAAAAATTCTACGGACTAAAATGCCATTTCTCCATCCATTTACATGGGTCATCAGCAATTCATCTCTGATGGTAATCCAGGACCGATGTGCCACACACATTCTAATTAACACACTATTGATTATAACTTCAGTTCTCAATCCATTTCTTCATATCGATGGATGTAGTGATGTATAACAGTGAACACACTGACCTGTAGATTAAAAGTGAGACGCAATGATGCCACATAACTACATAGGTCATTAGCAATTCATCATATTCCACGATTTTACTAACACTCTTTTGTTATCAACCATAAGGACCACAACCACTGCTACTAGCAAAGCAAGTTAAAGACATTCCTATTCACAGGGATAACAGTAAGAGGTGGGCTTGACCTTCCTGCAGGCACAGCAAAATGTACAATGGATGGAAATTGCTTGCATGCAAGAACGTGACTGTTGAGCATGAGGGAATGGCATAGAAAATGTCAAACCTTCTCCAGTTTGGCATACCCTTTCAAATAATTATGGTGCCTGCCGGTCAAAAATTTCACTCTGTCCGTAAAACTCACCTCTTTCTGCTATAGTAAGTTCCGCCTCCTGAATAACTATGATGCCGATGACGTGATCCACTGTTCCTCCCACTGGCTCCTTCCCACATGTTGCCACGGGCGGAAACTTTGGTACTTCCACTCGGCCAATTCAATGTCTGAGTCCCGAGGCCATTGTTTTCCTCCTCTACCCTATCATTGTATTCCAAGACTAGCCTCTTTATGTCTTGTTTCTCTTCAAATTCAGCTGCTTCTTTCTGTTTTGTGCTCTGAACAAGTGAACAATCCCGAGGAACATACATTTGCTTTGTCTGTTGTTTGTTCCCTCTCTTCACAAGAACTTTAACTTGAACCTCTCTGCTTCCACCAGCCTCCTCATCCAATGCCTCATCACCACTTTCTCCCCCAACCCTACCATGACGATCCTTAGTAGAACCCTCAAACACATTCATTGGTATCATCATGTTTAATGTAGGTCGGCCCCGCAGCTCTTGCTTCCGCTGCTCCATGCTCTCCTGCATTTAGAATTAAAAGTAGGACAACAACAATATCAACACAAATTGAAGGTAAAATTTTTATATGTTGAAGTTATAACAAGCAGCAGCAATTGTGAGAACAAAGTGAGAAAATCTTAAAAAATTAAAGCTTACCTGAACTACAGCCCTGAGTTCCTGGTCAAAATCTTCTACTTCCTGAGGGTCCACCTCTGCCACCTTCTGCCTGACATGAACTTCATCCTCCTCATCTGAAGCTGGTGCACCACCGTCATCCTCGTCTTCATCCTCACTCTCAGATCCATCATCATGGTTCTCATCATCCAATTCATCATCATCATGTCCCTCTGGATCAATGGTGCCACTCCCAGAATCACTATCACTGTCACCAATGTCCTCATTCATTCCATCATTTTCCTCAGAACCATTGGCAATGCTTGGTCCATTGGCTGAGATGGAACTGGATGATTTCCTGGTCGAAGGCTTTTCAGTGTCAGAGTGCTTTTCATTGTTTGTCTTGTCAGTTGAAGCAGTACGTTCATGTTCCTCAAGTTCTACTAAAGCTGCGTTAACTTCTTCAACAGATGAGTACCGAGTCATGTTGTGGCGTAATTCTGCAAATAAGTCCTGCAAATTCTTCACTTCATAAGCTCATCATGTGAAATTATCAAAGGGCGACGTTCTATGATTCTAAAACTAGAATATGCTACCTTTATGACTAACCTGCAAATCAAATTCAATATCCAGTGGTAGGACACCCTTGCTGAGAATATACCTCTGGAAATGTATCAAGAATCTATCAAGTTTTCTCTTGGAAGAGCCCCGGTCAAAGTAATGCCCACATGTCTGAAGAAGTGTAATAACCATCCTGATTCTGAAACAGTCTTCTGGAGGATCAAGAATATCTTGCTAACAATGTAACAAAATATAGAAATTAGACAGGAATAGTTGATTGCTCAAACTCACACAAGACAAGAAACAGTAGTCAGTACAAAACTTCAAATGAATAAACAGACAAAATTGATTTGAGAACAGCATTGCAAACCCTTGTAACCATCCATATAAATAACTTTTGTAAAATAAAATACACACCTCCACTGTGTCATGGCCAAAAACAAGAATCAAATACAGTGTCTCAAAGATAACAGATGAATCCACATGTTCATAGTTGTATAGCTCCCCTAAAAATCGCATATGAGCAATGCGTTTCTGCTGCATCCCATAATCATTCAATTCCAGTCCAACTCTAATCTCTTCCAAAACCTGAAAATAAAAGACACTATTGAAAACTTAACCATATATAGGGTAATGCACCATAAATTCTACACTAGAATTTCTCATCTCTGAAACATCAACTAAAAGAATTGAATTTGCATAAACAAAAATATAAAACCCAAATCCTATAGAATAGCACTTCCAATGAAAACCATTCAGATAATCACAGAAAATGGAACAGAAATGATGAAAGATGCAAACCTCATCGACAACAGCAATTGCAAATTCCTCATGGTGGCGGCTCAAACCAGAAGTGAGGGAAGCAATCAAATGAATCTGACCATACTTTCCTTTGTGAACCTTCATGAAGCACTTTAAGACATATGGTTCACATTCATTCCATGGTAATTTGCGAAGTTGTCTTAGAACATGCTCAATGGAAGACTTATCAAGATCTGAGAATAGCAATTTTCTAATGTACTGCAAAAAAGCAATGCTTAATATTAGAACAGGTACCAGAGATTATTGACATCAATACAAGCAGAGAACTATGAACAGAAAAGAAATCATACCTGCTGAAGTGGGGAACGGACTTTAGAGACTCGTGCAGATCTTTCAGGAGGTTTGCACAGGTAATAAGCATTTTCCACAAGTGTGCTGTGCCGTGGATCCAAGTTTTTGACATTTTTCAAGCGCATTAATATCTCTAACATGTTTGTCATTCTTAAAGTAGTCTCAGGAGAACGATATAGAAAACGGCCACATGTCTCCAGAAGATTGCAAGCAACATCAATATTATGATGAGTGAAATCATCCAAACAAGCCTGAGACAGTTAGCGGAAGTATTTATGGTAAGCTGAAAACATAGGTGAATTCTTATTAATTTTGATAAAAATATTAGTCTAAATCTACAATAATCTTCAAACAAGAATTTAACTGCATGCACATAGAACTAATGAAAAGAAGAGCAAAAAGATGATTATCTAAGTTTTTTCAATTATCCATAATTAGAACTTAAAAGTCTACATATGAACTGGGTGCTTTGCATATACCTTCAGACAACTAAAAACAAGGCCAGGTTGTGCAATCTTGAACTTGCAGAGTTCTCCAATAAATCTAATATTTCTGATCTTTGTTTCAATGTTCATTTGATCCTGCAAGCAATTTCATATTTGATATATAGATAATATACTGATTGAAAAAAAAAAAAAAAAGGACACTAATATACGAACTTACCAATAACAAGGTAACATACCTTTTTATTTATTAAGAAGTTGAACTCTTCCTCCAACATCTGTAAGAGCATGGAAGGGATGTCCTTCATACATGTTGACAAGGTAGATACCATTCGTGAATAGTATGGCAACAATTCCAAAGATGTCCTAGGGACATTAAACAATGCCCTGACAAGCCTTTTGCGATTTGACTTCGAATTTAAATAACAAAACTCAACCTGAAATACCAAATAAACACTAACGTCTTCTGTAGAAGTGCTTAACACTGAACTAAAAAAAGTGGCAAAAGAGGAGGTGTAATTACAGTCAGTTGGTCAATAAGGTCACGGCTCACAGAACCCGGAAGTCTTTGCAGTAAGGCTTCAAGACCTTTGAGTTTCTCCTTTTCACTTTCTGATTTTTTGTCTGAATCTTTTTCCTTCCCTTTTTCCTTGTCTGGGTCCTTAATCTTTTCCTTGTCTTTCTCTTCTCTCTCCTTGCCTTTCTCTATGGTTTTTGGTTCCAGTAAATTGCCAGACTCTGCAGAAACCTCAGTGGTATCTTGGGCAGCCAATGTGCTTTGATCTGCTTCAGAAGCAGGTTCCTTTAAAAATAAAACATTGTTCTATTTCATTAGATGGCCAATTAAAAAAGACATTCTGATAAAAGAATTGAAACACCTTGTGCTTATTAATTTCGACATGGAACAAGGTCCTATTCAGGTTTAGTGCTTGGGTACTAAAATCCAATAAACATCCATGCAATTAAAAACCGTGATGAAACATTAGAAACCCATTGTGTACTGAATACTCTCAAACCAAAATGCCAAATAACAAACAGAAAACACAGGAACCTATCAGCAGTAAAACACACTCCATGAAAATCCTGTGATAAAGTTCACAATTTTAATTACTTACAGTTGGTTGCTCTTGTGTCTTCACAGATTGTTCATTTGCTTTCGGTTCAGCTTCTCCCAATAATACTGCTGGAACAAATGCTCTGAAAAGACCATGTATGGCGTTCTCTTACCAGTTAGACCCTATTTAATCCAGGAAGTCTTTTCTTAGGCAACTGAATATAAACCACAACGAACCTGAGATCCGGTAAGCATTCATAGAAAGCCCTAGTGTCATCATCATCCCATATGGCTTCAAGGGTGGAAGAATCTTTTCCAGAAGTAGATGAAGTATCCTCTCCGCCAGTCACCCTTGTTGTGTGACCATCCTCAGGCATCACTGGTGGCTGCATATCAAGTGCTTCTGCCAAACTGTCATTTACAAACAAGCAGGTGCAGCAAGGACATGGAAGGACAACAACATTACTCACCACTCACGAAGAATTAAATCAACACATGATGATTGACCACATTAATCTAGTTGCCAACACTGTATAAAGAACCCAAGAAATTGCTATTATAAAGCAACTTACGATGAAACATTACGGTACAGATGATCATAAGACTTCCGCAGTTTTTCATAAGAAGAGGCATTTTCTTCATTGAGCTCTCCTTTAGCGTTCAAAATCTTTGCATTTTCTTGCTCCATCTGGCGAAGAGACTGTAAAATATAAACTACAAGTCAACAATTGGAGGCATCAAGAAGAGAAAAGGCAGGAAAGGGATCAAGTTTTTCATCCAACTAAGGATAAACAAATAGGAATAAGAGATAGGTGTAGGACTATAATTTTTGTCATAAAAGAAAACTATAGAAAATTCTGTGAATACTTACAGCATGCTCAGCATGAAGAAGTTCTGTGACGGCATCATGGTATGAGTGAAAAGCCTTCCTGAAAGTCTTCTTCTGATCTGCTGTGATATTAAGGCCCTTAAAAAACTGAACAAATGGCCAGGAGGGAAGTTATATGCTAGATCAGGGGAGGACTCCTTATAAAAATATGCCTATATTGTCAAACAAGGGCCACTAAAACAAGATAGCATCAAACCATAGCTACCCCTCTCAAAGAAAAGGGACACTTTGCTGAAGAAAGCATTAGAAATACTAAATAAAAAGCAATTCGTTGTTCTGAATATCTACCCAAGAAAAAAAAAAAAATCATCATTCTGAATGAAAAACAATAAGAGCTACGCAGGAACTATCCAACATCATCAAGTACATAATCATTTCAAATGTAGAGAAGAAAAGGCATACATCTTCTTGAATCTCTTGACCAGAAAGAGGAAGCCCTAGAAAGAGTCTCCCTTGTCGAGCAAAACTAGCAAGAAGAGTTAAATTTGTCTGAGTAGCATCTCTGTCCTTTAAATGTTCTAAACTTGTAAGATCCTTCATGATATTGATGAAGATTCCACTTTCTTCTATAACTCCAACAAAGAAAAGTTCCAAAAGAAGTTTTAAAGTGCTGCGCTTCTTCATGGCCTTCAAATTTCTGTCTGCATCCAAGTCATCCCCAGATTTTCCAGGGAAAAAGACTTTCAGGAGTCCTTGACTCAAGCTTGGTGAGAAATCTTTGTACCTTTGATGAAGCAAGGAACAGATCTTTGACAAATATACAAGAGTTAGATATGAAACAGGAGGTAGAACTCATAGCAATTATTATCAAATAAATTAAAGCTGCTCTCTCATCACATGGTGCTCAAAGAAATTCTTAATTCAAATCCATAAAGGCTACCTGAACTGCTGCTTGTATGTCTGAAGTTTTAAGCTTGGCATCACAAACAGCAGTAACAGCTTCGCTAACAAATTTGCTAAGGTTCACACTTCGCAACTCCTCCATCAACCCTTCTCTCTGCTCCTCATTTATCTGCTTTAACTTTTTAATAACAGCTGTATTGCGCTTAATGCTGGAATCTAGTGTCCTCAGGAACCCTGAGTCTGGAACCAACAGCAACAGAAAACAGTATTGATATATAAACCAGTACTCCAAAGATCATACCAGGCCCTCACATTAAGATCTTCAACCATGAATTTTCCTATTTACCATTCTTATTTTCTACTCAATTATGATTAAAAAGGAGCTGTGCTTGCTTGAAGCTGTAAAAGGATTATGTCATAAAACGGTAGGGATTTAAAGTGTGATTTATGTTTCCAAATCATGCATATTCATTTAAGACCAGTCACTCCCAAACATTAACAATTTCAAAAACCAGTTGACGACTATTTAGCTTGGAAGACCTCACAATCTAATCAGGTTTACTAACCAGGCCTTTCAGGATTCAAATTGCTTTGACGAAGAGCCATTTTTGCCTCAAATGACTTCTTCATTTCCTCAATACGAGCATTAGCTTCCTGCAAATGTAAAAATAAATAAATATACATACCCGCACACACATAAAATTCATATTGAATCACTGTAAAGCAAAATTTTTTAAGAGCACTGGGCATTCATACACATAGATGCACAAACAAGAATATTAACAGAGCAAATGGCATCACCTCATCATCCTGCTTGCCTTGCTGGTCATTTCCAGTACGGCATTCATCCTCATGGTGATCCATCTAACTATTTATGGTTGCCTATATAATCTCACCACCTGAAAAACAGTATGAATCAAAAAAGAGCTAAATATGATGATTATGCCTTCCTAAAATCAGACATTGGATACCTTAAACCACCAGAACCGAGATATCAACACAAAGAAAACATCAAAACTCGCTCAAAATAAGATGATTATGCTTTCCCTGATAGAGAGGATTTGATTATTTATCTTTTAAATTTTTTTTTTATTTTTTAAATTCATAGCATTATAACGAGTGAAGAAATAGATACAAAACGCACACTGTTCTCACTTCCGAGTTCAATTTCATGAAGAAATCAAAAAACTGATCCACCTTTTCTCCTGGATCTTTCAACTTTCGAAAATACAATACGATACATGAGGAGAAAAAACTCTGAGATGATAGACAGAGAATAAGGGCTTTTACCTGCACCGATACGTCGCCGGCGAAAGAAGGATTACAGTGATGAAGAGAGCAGAGTGACCTATCTCTATCTACTGTGTACAGAAGACGAGAGACGAAGTAGAGGGGAAGAGAGATGAGTGGTATAGTCTTCTGGCGGTGGGTAGAACTCTGGCTGTGGGTAGAACCCGCAAATTAAACCGACTCCGCGAACTGAGACTCTCCGGATTGTATCGCGGGTTAAATTAAACCCGATTGGAAATGTCGGAGTGGAGCCCACTGGGGTTTCAGTGTTTTTTTTTTTTTCCTAAGCCCATCCAGAAATCAGTCCAGGTGAATTGGATTGGAATCGCAACATATCCCTTTTATGAAATTCTCTTCATATTTATTTTTTTATTAATAAATCTAAACTCAAAATTTTGTTTAAATAGAGTGAATTTTTTCAGTAAATCAATGGATATGCTTTCTCTCTTTTAAAATTTAGGCAAACATATTTCACACTTTTTTAAAAGTAAAATCCCATAATTAATATAATATATGAGAAAAATATTTTTTAGAATAAATTGTATTTTCTTATAATTTAAATTTTAAAATTATAAA